AGAGCAAAGGAGAATAGCACTATGAAGCAGTCTTGAGTTAGTAATGTTGGAATGGAAAAGAGATACACTTTTGGATGAAAATAAATGGCAATGTGTACGCATGCACACATCGACACATCTTATTCTTTACAAAACTGCACTTTACATGAAACTGAACAGAAAACAACAGAGACATACTGTATAAAGTATGAATAAGGGAGCTAATTACTAGAAGTTATGATCAATGGCAGGAACTACTTAAGAGAAAACCCTTTTCTGACCTTAATGTGTCCTTTAGAAAACATTGTTTATATATTAGCACAACCACCGAGAGCAATGTATATGCAACACTAAGGCACGTTTAAGTGTAGCTTGTAAAATAGCCCAACAAATCCATATATACCCTGATTGAATACTAAACTTCAGTCCACAAAGAGAAATGGTTGCCAGCACTGCACTCAGCCACCTTCACTCACAGTAATTAAATGCGAGTAATGAACACCAATCTTTAGAACACGAGGGCAAGGACTTTATCCCCTCTCCACAACAAAGGGCCCCTACTATATAGTCTGGTTTGTCAGTGTTTCATTGTTTACAGCCTGGCATCACCTATCAGCAGCAGATTCACTTCAAACAGCATACCTTGTATTTTCTTGTGGCTAGTTGCGCTAACCCCGCAGCACACGTTAATTTGGTCTGGATTACAGCCGATTGGTCTTTGTTATTGCTTGGCTGAAAATAGTACAAAAAATAATTATGGAGTTCTTTAAAATTGATTAAGATAATGAAATAAACAGGATAAATTTCCAAAACTTAAATCAGAAGTAGATATGAAGATTAACCTATATAAAAGACCTCTTCCCAAGTATTTGCTGCATATTAATCATTAAATTAACATAATTGTTTCAGCTTATCAAATTTGACAAACTCTGCTAACTGCCTACATTTCCCAAAACAATATTGGATTACACTAATTACATTGCTAAATTAAATAAATGATGTCTATGTGGCTCTGAATATTAAAAATACCTTCTGTAATGATTCTCAAGTTGGTACTGTACTATGCTTCTTGTCTAGATGTAATAGTTTAAGTAACAATATATGTACTACGTACTATACCATCACCAAAATTTAATCAGAGCAAAATGTTCTATTTCTTTATAAGTGAAATATACAGGGAATATATTACTCACCCTAGATTCTGAAACTTCTGGAGTTGCTTGAGCTTTGCTTACGTAGCTCAAGACATGTGACCAGTTATTTAGGTAGATGGAAACCTGAAACATGAAAAATCTTTTGAAGTGCAACATTCACAGTTGACTAGAATTTTGATATATCAATTCCACCCACTGTTAATTATACAAATATATAATTATACAATTACCAAACACCACAGAAACATGTGCAAGTGTGTCTCCATCTATAGTACAGTACTGTACTGTATAAGACATAAATTTCTGAATAAAATATTTCACTGTTCTGAAATTGTAGTTAAACTACCCAATTTTGGTAGTCTTTATAAACAAGATTAAGTGTTATTGTATCTGAGGATGCAGTAGAAAGTAGAAATGTGCACTGGAAATAGATAGAAACTTCAAATTTGTTAAGCCTTTGAGGCATATTAAATTCCCCACAACTCCTAGCTTTCTCATTGCCCACTTTACAATGTCACATGGTACCCTGTCAAATGCTGTCTGGTAGTTTACAAATTAGTAGTACAATTTTCTCTCTTTATTTATTTTTCTAGTAGCTGCTTGGCCATAACTATTACCCCTGTAGTCCTCCTACCTGGCATAAACCCAAACTGCATTTCAGTCATGTCCACTCTCTTCCTTAACAATTTCAAAATCACCCTTTCTACAACTTTCAAAATCTGATCTAGCAGTTTCAGGCCCTTGTAATTCACATATTCAAGTGCATCACCTTTACCCTTGAAAGTAGAGATATCTCCGTTAGCCAGAACAATTGGTGCAGAGCACTTCCAGAATGAGAGATTTCCGGGTAACGAGATGACTCAAATACTGAAAAAAAATCTCTCATCCCCAGAATTTTACGGGTACCAGGAAATGTTCTCAGAAGTTCCAGAAATTGCACATTACATCATCTCTCGAACCTGGTAAGAAATCCTCCATCCCCAGAATTTTCCAGGTACCAGGAAAATTTACTAAAAATTTTCCAAAAATGTGCCGCTTGGGAGATTGTTCCCAAAGCCTTAATTTTCCAGAAAATTCCAGCATTGGGAACGATTTTCTGAGAAATTTTCAATTCCGGTTATTGGAGAGCTACGGTTAAGAGGGATTCCGGCTAATGGAGATACTACTATATTCACAATCAAACTCTTTCTCCAGTCGTCTGGAACTGAACATTCCATCATGATTGCATTTGTCAACTTGATCACCACTGACATGCCTACATCGCGTGATGATTTCAGTATTTCCACAACTATCCCAGAACTTCCAGCTGCTTTTCCATTCTTCATTTTATCAACTGCTCTCCCCACCAATTCACTTTCAATCATTAGGGATGGTCCCTGTACTGATCTTACTACCCCCATGCGACCCATGTTTCAATCATATTCCTCATTCAGTAATCATAGTATTTTCTCCAAGCATCCTTGATTTCCTTGTTATCAAAAACACATTACCATGGTCATTTTTCACACACTGCTCACTCAAGACATTCTTGTTTCTACCCACCCCACAATTTGCCTGGATATCCTGAAAACATCTCTTACAACTACACTATGGTGATGGTGTGGGAAGCTTATTGAGATTGTGAATTATATTGAAAATTATCCAATATACTGGTAATTTAAATATTCCAGTAGTAAGTGCTGGAAAAACTAAAAGTGTATTATGTATGTACGGTAATACTGTAAGTGACACGATTAAATACAATAAACTGCTGAAACTTTGAGGGGTTAAGTTCCTGTTCCCTGCGACATACATTATATATCCACAGACCTTATGGGAAAATGAAGTTCTATTCTGAGTAACCTCGTCAGCGACACTATCAAGCATAACTCATATACTGTATTAGAAATGTTTTTAAATAAAAATAAGCCATTAATAAGATGTCCAGTGTTGTATGACAATAAAACACTAAAAGAAATAAAAATCAACATTCAATACTAAACAGCTGCAGGCTAGAAGAGCAACCGGCCAACACCAATGTGGGAACTGAGTTTGGTTTTGTGAGGAGTGAAATGCTATGGAATGACTGAATATGAATAAATATGCTATGATTGGGTGGCTGTCCTGTGACAGAGGACCAAAACAACAATGGCTGCTCCAACAGTTGACATACATGTAGTACATTATCTATATCCCGTATTGTACATTACTTCCTCATTTAAATACAAAAGTTAATAAAATTTCTAATCATAGACCAAATAAATTATACACTTAATAGATTAATACACAAGGCAAAAACCATATACAGGTTGACAATCCCTTATCCGAAATCCTTGGGGCCAGAGGCATTTCGGATTTCGGAATTTTTCGGTTTTCAGAATGGTTAGTTTTTTTTTTCTTGTGTATGTGTGTGTGTGTGTGTGTGTGTATTAGCCCACCCAGGCACAAGTCACTGACCCACATTGGGGCCTGGGAGGCAAAAATATAATAATAATTATAATAATAATTCATAGGTCTAGGTCGTGTTTCTCACTTTTTATCTTTTTTCATTCTTGTAGTATTTCTTTATTATTATTTTATTAATACAGTATTATTGTTATTATTATTATTATTATTATTATTGTTATTATTATTATTATTATTATTATTATTATTATTGTTATTATTATTATTATTATTATTTTATTTTGGTGTATTTTTTATTAAAATTTTTATTTACTATGAATAATTATCATTATTATTATAATTAGTATTACTATTACATTTTCGCCCCTCAGGCCCCGGTTTTCAGAGCTTTTCGGTTTTCGGAGTAAGGGTTGTCAACCTGTATATACTAATGACCAATGAGGGATACATAACACGGTTTAGAGTACCCTGTAATAATTTTGGTAATGCTATATAAGAGTATTGTGGCTAAACATTGCAATTAGAAATGACTTTTTATAGATGAATTGTTTCTTCTAATTATAACATAAATGGAGGAATTTTCACAACGTAAATACATACAATCACAAACTTTCAATCCAATGCAAACTTCTTGATTTCCTCCAGTGAAAATTTAAAGTGAAATCTCAATTTTTTTAACTTTAAATCCACAAATGAAGTAGAGTTTATTGTATTTTCAGTCTTCATTTAACTGAAGAAATGATTTGTATCTTACTATTGATAAGATTCCACAGTTCACAATCATAGGAGATGTGTGACTACTCCACCTTACCTTAATCACATTAAGACACATATTGATAATGTGTCTGAAGGAGGTGCAGTAATCCCGGGCTCGAGAATAACACTTCAGGGCATTAGAAAGATCACCACAATCCAAATAATGATCACCTAAATCATCATGGCCTCGACGAATTGACTCCTTGATGCTGTTAACCTGTGAATGGTGGCAGGAGTTATTTTTGTTTTCACATAAAAGCAAACTATTTCATCCCAAACAAAGGAAAAGTCAAGTCAAAACAGGATTTTTTATAATCAAGCTACTCACATGATTGCAATACTATGCAAGATGTAATGAGTAAGAATTAAATGTACCAATCAGAATTTTCATAAAAAATCCCAAATTTCATACACTTCTACACAAGACATGTCAGATTATAAAACTGTCTTCTAAATATAAAGTAAAAATACACAGTTTGGCAAACAGAACATGTAAAGTACCGGATATACTCGTGTATAGTTCGAGTTTTTAAGACCAAATTTTTAGGCAAAAAATTGGGGGTCGTCCTATACATGCGTAATAGTTTTGTTAGGTTGAACCTGTGCATGATGGGAAGGGCGAGGAGCAACTTTTAGCTTCAGACATGAAAAATATTTACCATTTACTGCCAGTAAACAATGGAAACGTAAAATATGTACCAATTAGTAATGAAAAGTTGTGCAGTTCCTTCAGCAAATGAAGCTCACCAACTTACAATAGGCTAAATTACCTTACAACATGCTTTCAGTAGTCTATGTTGAAGTTCTTAGCACAGGCTAACTTATCATATCATATACGGTATCACAGTACTCATTGATCTACAAAAAATACCGGTAATAAAAACCTTTTCGATATTTCATACTTAATATAATACCCGGTAATCTACTTCAACCTCCTATTGTTTACAACGACGCATGACGCACCACCAGCTGTTGAGTATCAGCTAGACGGTACACGTGTTTTTCGAATCGTTTTCAGTTAAAAAACTGTTACATCACATGTATATTTTACCTTAACTGTGCCTGAATGAATATATTCTCGGAAATAAATAGTAGTTTTGCTGAAACGTGATGTATTTTAATGTAAAATAGGATAAAATACATGACAAAAACAAAAGATTTTACCTAACCTTCCGATGTTCAAGAGAAGTTACTCATTTTTTTAATAGTTTTTGGTTAAAATATTGTTATATTACAATGGTATTCTATTCATACTGTGCTTGGTATAATGAATTCACAGAAATGTAATATTTTTGCTGAAATGACGTACGTATTACAGTGGAAAGTGGGATAAAATCGTGATGAAAACAATGACTTTCGCTTTCTTTCGTTCAAAAGATGTTACCGTAATCGCTTTTCGAATGGTTTTCAGTTTAATAACTGTTGTATTACGATAATATTCTATCCTAATTGACTTGAATAAATACTACGATACCATATTTCTGAATATTTTCATTAAAATCCATCAAAATCATTTTCCTTGTCATCGTCTGCAGCAATAAACAGCTTCTCCCAGTCCTCTCCTTGAACAGGGCTAGAGGGTACGTGTTTTTCGAATCATTTTCAGTTAAAAAAACTATTACATCACATGTATATTTTACCAAACTGCGCCTGAATGAATATATTCTCGGAAATAAATAGTAGTTTTGCTGAAACGTGATGTATTTCAATGTAAAATAGGATAAAATACATGACGAAAACAAACGACTTTACCTAAGCTTCTGTTCTTGAGATGTTACTGGTTTTTTTAATAGTTTTCGGTTAAAATTCTGTTATATTACAATGATATTCTATTCATACTGTGCTTGATATAATACATTCACGGAAATGAAATATTTTTGCTGAAATTACGTACGTATTACAGTGGAAAGTGGAATAAAATCGTGAAAAAACAATGACTTTCGCTTTCTTTCGTTCAAAAGATGTTACCGTAATCGCTTTTCGAATGGTTTAGTTAAAAAACTGTTGTATTACAATAATATTCCCTCCTAATTGACTTGAATAAATACTTGAATGGAAATATACAATATTTTTGTTGAAACTACCCGCGTTTCAGTGTAAAGTGTCGTACGTAATAATAAATAGTAAACAATTTGCCTTCGGCACTCGTGTTTCAGGCACGGCGAACCTCAGTTTATAGGACGTAGAGTGTTTTTAGTGAAGGTTTTGTTGTTCCAATACCCTCAAAAAAGTGGGTCGAACTATAAACAAGGAATATAGTAAATTAACGATTTCTTGGTAAAAAAATCAGGGTCGACCTAAAACGAGGGGGAGTTTATAGACGAGTATATACGGTAATTCCCACATGATGAAGGAGAAACAAGATTAATACTAACAGTAAGCATGCCCTCAATCCTAGAGCCAAAAAATTCTGACTTGATTGGTGGGGTTTTGTGGGTGAGGTCTGTACGTGTTTTCATAATGGAGTTTTGTTTTGTATCTACGATATCTAACCTTCGAATCAGTGGAATATCTCTACATAAGCAAAATGAGGAACATGAATTGCAAGGGTGTGGCATCACTGGTGCTCGGTGGCTCAGGCTGTGCAATTATGTGTTTTTGCTGTGTATTCATACACTGTGCCATGATAAAGAACACTCTATCTGCTTTGATCTGTTGCGTTGTGTGGTAGCATTGATACTATATCGCAAAAGTTTTTGTAATGCTTCCCACTCACTCACATTTCATACACACACAATCAAAAAGTTTTGCAGTTATCAGAACATTGGTATCGGTCTATGCTTACGGTAAGTGAATATTTTACATGCATGATGAATCGGTACTTTATGTTTATTTTAACTTTATTAAAGGTGCTTGACTATGTGTGTGTACAGTGCTTTTTGGTATTGTTTTTATGGTATCATAGTTATTTTATTGCATCACAAGTATCCCTCTAATTACATAGATTCTTTGGAGAAAATTGTCTCGATATTCGTAATGACTTTGAGGTATGCATTCTTTGTGATAACCGGGGTATTGCTGCACTGAATTTCTTTGAATTTGTTAAAATTCATCATGTTTGTTCAAATCAATATGTTCACGCTTCTTGGATAAATGGATGTATGGATTGAAGGCATGCATTTCTGTCATCATTGTTTTACAGCCCCTTTCCACATCTGTGTGGGTTAGCTATGATGACCCGATGGCAGCTCTCTATGTTGCACATCTCTTGCAGTCACTCTTGTTAGGTTCTCAACTCTTAATGTCATTTCTTACAACCTCTCCCCATGTCATTCTTGGTCTACCTCTGGCTCTCCTTCCCTCCATGAAGAACCCTCAGGTAGGAGTCATTCCTTCAAGCGGTAGTTTTAATCGCTCAAACCTCTTCCCCTCCATGAGGGATCGTCGAGGGTAGGGTTGGTAAGCTTGTACACCTTCGCTGAATCCTTATGGGTAGTCATACTCGTGTGGTTGGCATGCCGGAGGTGTGTTTGTTTACAAACCCTAGTGTCATATTCAAGACTGTACTGTACACGGACGACCATCAACATGAACTACGCCCACTCCTCTCAACCAGTGAGGACAAGCTATATAACTCCCAGAGAACAAGAGTTTTTAGTCCTGTTAATTGGTGAGGAAAATATTACAAAATAAAGACAGATGTGTCAAGGTAGTGTAAGGAAGCTTGGATGCCATAACCTATTGACCCAATTTGTCACAGCCATTCTCAGCCTGCTTCTCCACAAAACTTCACCAATTTTCTCTTTACCCAGCCGCCCTCTTAGCTCGGAACAGGGTCTCCTGTCCTTCAGTGTCACATTACACATCTACTTCACCATTCTCATTTCATCCCACTCAAGCCTGCTTATGTCATCCTCTTTAATTGCCATACAATATTACACTTTTTCTCACTCCATCTGCATACATTCTTCCTTTCATGTGGAGGGAAGGTCCTCTTGTTGTCAATAAAGGCAGCAAATCCCCAAACTACTACTAGCCATTTCTGACTCTTGCAACCAAGCAGGCTTCAGTGCCCTCTCACCAACACGAATCATGTCACCCAGGTAGCAGAACTCATCAATACAGTCCAGGGACATAACCCCAATGTTGAGTTTCTCCAGCCTTGCTGTGGGCACATTGTTACCTGCACATATGGAATGCATAAAGTCAGTAACATCCTGCAGTCTGCCATCTACACCACTGCACCTCCTCTTGTGTACCCTTCCACACTTATAGCACATCATCGAGTTGCTGCCAACACTTGCAGACAGTACATGGCCATTTTCCACCATGAGCCCCTCACCTTCACCACCAATCAATACTTTTGAATTTGCCACATTCACTCTCAGGTCCTTTGACTCTATTCCATCCTTCAATTTCTCAATTGTCTCTATAATACAATCTGCTATCAGCATTAAATCATCAGCCTACACCAACTCCCAGGGCAGGCCAGTTTTAATATCACACATTTCCTTCAGCATCATGATGAACAAAAGGGTACTTTAGACAGATCCCTGACAGACCCCACTCTCTCCTCAAATTCCTCACCATTTACTATCACAGAAGATTTCGAGCACTCATATAATGTCATAATCACTTCTACTACAGTACAGTATTAGTCATTTACTTCTTGTAATGCAATAAATAAATCTCAAAATCAAGTTTAACACAAAACTTCAATAAATTAATGCATAATATCTACCTTAGAATTCTTTAGATCAGTATCAAGTTTCTCCAATTTCAACGCAGCTTTTTTGGCACGAGATTCGACCCACTGCATGTCGAGGACAGGTAAGGTGGCTACGACCCCGCCACCCACCTGACCTCCTGCTATATCTGGTAAGCTTGCATTTCCTGCATTGGCTCCACTGTAAAGAAAAGTTAAAGACTTACGTTGTTCATTTACTTGAAGAATAAAAGTATGTATGGCAATCCCATCTTTTGGATAAAAGCTTGAGATGGGTTACCTCGTAGACCTATTACTACCTTCTGCCAGTACCCGCCACTGCCAGATGGCTTGTTTGTTCAGTGAGAGGGCATAACATCCACGTGAAGAGAATTAGTGCTACATAGTATCTCCTCACCCGGTCAAAGAAAAATTCTGAAGCTGTGATTCTGTGGTTCTCTTGTTTGACCAGTGAGGAAGCTCAAGTCAGGAATTCAAATTTTTTTTAATTAGTCAGAACAAGACTGTAAATATAATTAAAATTATGCTCAATGAAGGGAAATTTCTCATGTCTAGTCAAGATTCATTACCCATAAACATATTAAAAAAAAATTAAAATAAAGGAAGGAGTTATATTAAAATTATCTAACATAAGAAACCACCACGGATATAATTATATATACCTGACTGCTTCTTGCATCTTCCTGTGGAGTTGAGTATATAAGTTGACATTGTAAGTTGTCTGGACATACTGTATGGCCATTCGAAGAGCTTCCACACGTAACTGGGGGCATCGGTCGGCTATAAAGACGAGTCGCTGTAACTTTGCAAGGCCTGTGTAGCAGTTGGCGTAAGTCTCAAGGTCCTGTGGAGTTGTACACAGAACATTAGACTAAATATGGATTTTTTTTAACTGGAGAAAAATCAAACTAATTTACATGGCAAAACTGATTTGTATTGAATGCTAATAAAGTATTAAGTAACTACACATCTTTTATAAACCATACTATATTTACCTCCATGTTAATGAGATTAAATGCCTATCAAAGTAAAAAAAAGTATAAACATTATATAGTTTCTAACTTTCCTTACCCTAAATATTCCACTCAAATATTATAAAATTTCTTAATATGTATCAATACATTTACCTATTGTATTAAAATATATACTGTATACATTATGCCTTACAACTAACCTTTTGTCTCTTTACATTCAACAACACACTTGATTCTTAAGAACTCTTGCTGAAGCCAACCTCACTGTGGCTACTGTATCTTATGTCTCCATCCCATACATGTGCCTCAGAACTGTACAGTGCTTGAGCCATTGTTATCCACTCCCTTTATATTTCTCATTTTAACCAAACAGTGTAGCTACATCTTTTATTTATTGCCAGCAAGAATTGTAATGTCTTAAATATACTGCTGTTTTTATGTTACCCAAGGAATCAATTTAGTAAGAAAGACAAGGAAATATGGGTGAGTTCCTGGTGTTTAAAAACAAGGTCCAAAGGGCCATAATTGGGCAGTGAAGTCAGAAAAAAGTTGGTACCGGTACTGAACTCATCAGATATCATATTGTGAGATATCCACACACCAAGTCTGAATAAGAACCATTACTGTTTGTTCCAATTTTTGTGTCTACAACTCCTGGATAGAAGGTCAGGCAGAAAGTACTATATAAAGAGAACTGTATTATATTCCTCAGGATAGTGAGGAAACAATACAGTACTGTACAATGTTTATTTGATATAACTACCACAGATAGATACACACGTGATAGAATTAGTGATGTGGATAAACAGTCGTACTCACCAATGACGTACTCTCCACAATAACTGGCTCATCCTCTGTATTGTCATTTTCCTCCACTGCCATATCAATTACCATTGGCTCTACATTGTTCTGAAATAATAAAAGACAGTTAAAATAATGTTTCATAGTGACATCGCCTACAGTACAAAATACAGTACTGTAGACAGGGCTGTGTTAAGACAATCTAGGGCCCTGGGCACTTCATCATCAAGCCCCCCTTTTTACTTGAAAAAGAAAAAGACATTTCCAGGTTCAAATACAGACCATATATTGGCTGAATTACATAAATTCAAATAATTAAATGTAACATCATCATAATAAGTACACGATATCTGTAAACAAAAAACTTGCCTTTTTCTTATAAATGACATACTGGTACTGTACTATAGATAATCATTAGTTATTAAGATTACTGTAATTTGAAATTAAATTTAAATTTGAAGAATGAACTGTAATGTTCATGTAATGTGATATGGAGATATTCACAGTTAAAAGTTGTCATTTCGTAGCAGCAAACTAAGAAATCACATCCTGAAAGTCAATCATGCATGTGAGAGTGCTTTCCATGGACATAATGAAATGGCGAGGTAGTTCAGCTTGTTTTGGTTCATTGTAGCACACCATTTATTCTGCACTAACTTCACTTTTGAGAAGCTACATTCTGCTTCACAGTGTGACATACAGTGAAATGAAGTTCTTAAGGCAATGGTGACATTAGGAAAAATTGCTTTTAAATTCTGATTGTTTATGAACTGATACTGGAGAATCTATCCTCTCTTTCAGCCGGATCATGAAGTCGTAAAATCCTTATATTTTGATGTGAGTTGGGCGATTCTAGTTCGTAAATGCTCTGTTTTGATATGAGAAACATCTTAGAAAAGTAAAATCATCTGCTAGTTCTCTATAATCTTCTTTACTTTACACAGGAGATCTCCACTATTTATCTATGACTTGGGAAGTCTGTAAATGCTTCAGCTGGTGATGTTCTCGCATCAAAATGACTTTTCCTTTGCCTTTGGCATTTCTGTTCATATTGATAATGTTTGCTTATACAGTACATGGCACTGTGTTCTTTGCAACATCTTTGATCTCACTGAATTTCTCATGCGGTGTCCCAATGAACTCTTCCAGGGATTCCAGAAGTGATGTGGTTGTAAGTAACTCCACATTTTCCTTTTGCAGAATAAGGTTCACTTTCTGGAAGTACAGTATACTGTACAGTATAAGTATTTGAATCCACACTTCTGCCACGAACCCTGTTTCAAGCTTATCAAGGCCAGCAATTAATCTGCTTGCTTCTGACCTAATAGATTCAGGTGCATTTTAAGTTGCCACAAACTTTTCCAGGTTCTCATATACAACATCAGCCAGTCCCCGAGTTATGAACTGGTTACGTTTCTGAACCCCGTCCGTAAGTCAGAACAGTGTTAATTCCATAATTTATGTTAAGTTAAAGCACAACCCTGCCAATACAAAACAACCACAGTATACCATACCCGGTACATAATAAATAAAGGGCGAGTCAAAAGTCTCCATACATAGGCAAAATTATCACTTTATTATACAATAACTTGTAAGTCACAAAATATGCTCTATGTGGGCACCATTACACTGAATGTACATACGGACGTGTTCCTCCCACTCATGGTGAACACGTGTTAACCAACTCTGTCCTCTTGTTCAACCTTAATACTGTACAACCCATGCTGTACTGCTCCCCCATTATACTTAGGGTTTCCAATTCCACTGTAATTTATGTATACTGTATACTTATAATAAAAAATAAAATAAAAAATAAACTGAAAAACAAAAATAATAAATAAATAAATAGTGAAGTGATAGCCGTGGTAACATTATGAGATGTTCTTATTACCACCATGCTATTGTACTATTCCAGATGTTACTAAATGTTTCATAATACTTTCTTGAGATAAATGTATAGTATATATCAGGTGCCTCAAAGAGAGCTCAGGTTCTCAACTGGCTCAGCCATGTTAATATTGTTTTTATTATCCACTCCGTATCTGTGTTTTTCTGGCTAAATAAATTGTTTCAATTCAATGCTCGCACACGCATTACGAATACGTTCCTTTAGGTGGTCCATGTTTTGTATCTTCACCTGGTAGACAAATGGCCTTCAAGTGCCCCACAAGTAAAATTCAAGGGGGGTGAGGTCTGGGGACCTCGGAGGCCACTCCACAGGACCACAGCGGCCAATCCAGTGAGTCGAAAAATGTTGATCCAGCCACTAGCGCACGCGGATACCGTAATGGGGTGACGCCTCATCTTGCTGAAATATAATGGTGCCCATAAAGCATATTTTGTGACTTACAAGTGATTGCATAATAAAGTGATCATTTTGCCTATGTATGGAGACTTTTGACTCACCCTGTAGTGTAAATACTATAAATAAAATGATGTTAAACAATACAGAATAATGAATGTACGCTATGTAAAAAATAGGATTTTAGTTACAGATGTTTGTGACGAATATACAGTAAAGTAGTACAGTATTGGGATCCCATTCGTAAGTGTGGGAGTTTACAACTCGGGAATTGCCTGTATAATTTTGCAGTTCATGCACAGTGCTTTTGTAAACTCAGCATAGCAAGACAATCATGTTGTTGATATGCTCTTTAAAGTTAAAATCCTGTTATTTTCATTTGGAGTAAAACTCTATGTCAAGAAAGACCAACTGTGAGTTGATCCTGTAGAAAATGCATACAGGTACTCCCCAACTCACGATGGGGTTAGGGACCGACATCCAGGTTGTAAGTCGGAAATGCTTAAATAACACATAGAAAATCGAAAATGGGGGTCTCTTTTTCTTCTCAGCACCACAAATCACTCACTTTTAAGCTTGCCAGCCATTTTAAAGTGAATTACAGATGAAAATTGTGTCTGTGTATTGACTTTGGGACTCGAAAATACGTAATTTGACCAAATTTTGGTACGACTGAGGCAGGTCGTAAGTGCGGGTGGTCGTAAGTCGAGTTGGTCGTAAGTCGGGGAGGACCTGTAGTTTGCTCAGCAAACCAAAAAATTTATTGCTTCCAAGCAACAGCTTACACTGTACATTACTTCATCCAGGTTTACGTTAATGTGCAGTGCAGGGTACCGTACATGATATCATCATAGCAAATGCTGTACAGTAAGTCCTCGTATAACGTCGGCCTGCTTAACGTTGTTTCGGTACTACGTCGGTAATCTTAAGATACCAAAAATTCGTTTAACGCCCCAATGAATCAGTACGTCGTTTTGCACAGTCACAGACTACTTTTTACGGCGCACCACCCTCTCTCGGCGCGCTACCTCTCACTCGTGGAACGTCACAGCGTTCCCAAGCAACGCCAAGCCAGTCTGTTGGGCTTCCACAGCGTTTGTCCGTGTTTAAGTATTTTTGCTCTTAATACTGTACTCTAACAATTTGAAATGGCTTCCAAGTGCCCATCAAATGCTTCTGATAATAGTGTTGTGAAGCAACGTAAAACCATTAGCCTCGCTACGAAAATGGAGGTTTTAAACCGGGAGGAGGAGCCACCCGCCAGGTCGCAGTGACTCGCCACCCTCTCCTCCGCTCCACTACCCACCACACACTCGCTCCACCACTTCCATCTATCAGTGAGTACAATACAAATGATTTAGTTTATTTATTTTTATATACTGTATACAGCCACTCCCCGACTTACGACGGGGTTAGGGTGTCTCTTTTTCTTCTCAGCACCACAAAACTCTCACTTTCAAGCTTGCCAGTCATTTACAAAAATTTTGTCAGTACACAGCGCATATGTGTGTGACCAGGGAATGTTACCTCTAGACCACCAGGACATTAAAAGCACTCCTAGACTTTGTTATATTTCACACAAAGCCTGTTCATCGAGCTTATGGCGCCGTGAACCTCCAATTGGGGACTACCCGTGCCTCTTAGGTGATCAGAGTAACATTTTACCAAATACAGCTTCAAAACACGAGGTATACTCTTTTCTATAAAAATGCCATTGAATTTCTATACAGTATATGTAATGTATTTCATGGGGCAAAGGGAGGCTCAGGAACGTAACTCCCGTATTTGATCTATTTCTTATGGGGAAAATTTATTTGCTTAACGTTGTTTCATATAACATTGCATTTTCAGGAATGTAACTCCGACATTAAGCGAGGACTTACTGTACAGTACTGCCAAACCAATTTGTTTAAAAGTAATAAATAAAAGTAATGGTGAAAAATAGCAGATTTTGAGGTCTACGGGCTGGGCTCTTCAGGCACCATTGTTAGTGTAGCCCTGTGTACATGTAATGAACTTTCCTAGTGCTGCATAAGGGAATGTCAAATGTTTTAATCATATACAGTACAGTGTATGATAGCTGATAGTTTGCCAGTGGCTCTTAACCATAATATTAACCAAAAACCATTGACCACTCCTATAATTTTCAACTTGCTTAACTTCCTAAAACAATATTTTCCCACTTTTCACTAATCATCTTCGATATAATATAAAAAAAAGAGGGAAAAGAGGTAAAGATCAGAGTAAAACAAACTTGTGAGTGTGAAAACAAAATTTTCCAAATGAATTATGAATACATTAGTAGGTGGTTGCCGAAATACGTTGGTTTAGATGGTGTGAGGTTAGCTCGAGCAGTTTCGCTCATTACTCGTCCACACTGAATCATTCATCATTTAAGTATTAACTTTATTATATTGTGTATTTATTGTATTATGCTAGAGTGCATTATATTTGTAATGGTTTGTATATAGGTCAGTTAAGTGGAACTAATGTCAATAGGTAATTTAGATAAAGTTTATGTTTTGGCCAATCTAGATATAGTACGTCAGTATTTGGCGGTAGAGAGGTGACGTGGGTGACCTACTGGTACACTCTAGGCACAGCTGTCTTAAGTTAAGTGTATACCTTCTCTCTGGTGTCTTGGGAGTTGGCATTTGACTATTGAGATTCGTTATTGCTCGATATTGATTTTGTGTGATCTTGTTGGACCTTCAGTCCTTCCTTAACCACTTCCAAACATCTACAGGGTAGTCATATTATTATTGTTATTTATTTTATTCTATGTACATAAGTGGTGGTGGGAATA